CAATTCAATGAATGTAATTTTGATATGGTTATTATATCTGAGTATATTATAAAATGACACACGTAGGAGTAATTGCGGTAACATGCGGTTCGAAACCTTTTATACAAAATGACAAATAGTGGGCAGTTCTCGTGCGTTAGTCATTGCTAATATTCGCAATTTCGTAATGCAAGTCAAGCCGCACATTTCACTGTGACCACATCATGATATTCACCCAATTCACTGTTTATGTACGCACGCACTATGCAAAGAAAGCCTGGGTTTACGAGCGTACGTTATTATTTGCATTCAATCATTTTTTTGTTAGGGTTTAAAAAACTGGATTGAGTCGTTAGTGTGTCTACTGTTTCTTAATTTTATGGAAAATTATCCACAAAAACAGTATTTTCTTCTGTTGATATTTAGATTTGTATTTGAAATTAAATTAAAATTTTTTGGCTGACCTAATTTTGATATTTAACTCTTTTTTATTTTAAGATTTTAGTTTTGTGTACAACAGATTAAGGTGTGTGTTACTAAACTTGAATTCATTTACAAAATAAACTAATCAAAACTAATAAGTTGTTTTGATAATGCTTTGATCATATTTGTGTATCGATAGTATTATATAAAAATATGTGCGTTAATCAAAATTCAGTAGAGAAAAAAATTCCTTATAGAATTTATGGTTAGCTAAATAAGTACAGCGTTTATGTAACAACGAGAGGAGAAACGGTCTCAGAATTTTCTCATCTAAATATCAAACAATCGATGTTCACCACATTTTTTGAAGAATAATTGTTTCATTTCTCTAAATTGAATGCAGTCTTTTTGTTATCTTGTTCCACAAATTCTTCATTCTTTCCTTGAAAATGTAGTCGCGAGAATTAAATGACTACTTAACTGATTATATGATTCGCATACGTGAAATTTTTATTTATTATAGAATACATAGATCATAAATTCATAAAGTTTAGAAAGGAAGTCTAGACCTGTCCTTTCGCGATGATTCACGTACGTTTTATCGCATTCGATAAATCTGGCTCACTAATGGAGCTTAAAAATTATCAGATAACTCTCTTTCTCTCTTTAATAGATTATAAACGGGCAAAGTTGTTTTTCTTTTCTGTCTGTCTGTATGTCTGCTTTTGGAAAAATGGGTTAATAATATTATACGGAGACGTTTTTAGTGCATTTTGATTTTCTCTTTTGCGCTTAGATAATGATATGTAATTTATATTCACGTAAGAGATGAGGGAACAATAGGCAATAGGTTACTGAGTGTCAAAAGAGATAATATACAATTATCTAATAAGGATATACATAATACAATTGTAAAAGGTAAATTTAAATAAAATGACAGTTTTATAGCAGATGTTGTTTTAAAAATAATCTTAATTTATAATTTATTGAATACTTTTTTATTTTTTAGTCTATACGCTTTATTAGAACTTTGGGCGTGATTAGTTGCTACAGTTTTTACAGCTTAGAAAAGATTTTGTTTGGTTACAATATTGCTCTTTTGCGAATTTTTCTATGCTTTGAATTTTAGAGATTTTGATTAAAAATTGAGAAGTTGAGATTAATATTTGATATCCGAGTATATTGTCGCAAGTGATAAACGTTGTTTATTTTCTTCATTAATGAACACAATCAACAATGAGATAGCTATTCTCATAATTAATATCACACGTTTCAATCAAGCGGCAAGTCTTTGGTGTGCCATCTGATAAAAATGCTATTTCCGGTATATTCAGGATGAATACGAAAGAATCAATATGAATTTTTTTGCATACTTACACCAAGATATTTTTTTGTAATTATTATCAAATTTGACATTTTTTAATTAACTATAAAGTTATACGTAGAGAAATAATACAGTTAAAATAATTATTTGATAAAATAATCCGTTATTTGATTGATGGTAAATATTTATTCGAAGCACATACTTGAGTGTAAAGAATAAAATAAACGGTATTTTATTTTTGATTCGAATGTATTGTTAACATATTGTTCGTTTGATTAAAGTTAAAATTATTTAATATTGCAAATGTTATTTGTCAATGGTAATTGTTTATTTTAAACCATTATTTTTTTTATTAATTTATTGATACAAAATATTATAATTTTCAAACTATTATTACTTTTGAGAAGGGAAAAATTTAAATATAGTGTTGGAAATAGACAAATACAAGTGAAATATGCCGACATAGAGAGCAGGATGATGTTATTTTATCTCTCTTGGAATTTGAGAATACTGGAGGCGAGAGTTTATATACTAGAGTGTTTTATAATATTCACTTTGCTCTTGATACTTCCACCGTCTCATTTAATTGGCTTAATAGTGAGAAGCAGTGTTGTCAGATGATGTTGATGATGATGATCCACACAGATTTACAATAATTCTTTATTCTATAAAATTTATCTCCTTTTTATTGATCGCCTGTCAGGCTTACTTATCCTTTATTTATTTATTCTAGAATATTTATCCTTCTGGGGAAATATTCTCATGCTGAAAATCAAGTTACCTGAAATTAAAATATTTTCAACTTTTATTTTATCAAAAAAAAAAAAAAAATAGATGGAGTAAAATGAAATTAATCTTATGAATGAGGTTCAATATAGAAATGTTCCCATAGAAAAAAAATTCATAATTTTAATTTTATAAAGAATAACGTATTATTATCCAATATAATATGTATTCCTGCAGGAAATAAATGTGCCAGTTTGATGATAGATGATGCTAGATGATTGGCTTTTATGACGACTAAATTGTTTCGATTTGTCTCATAAATTATTGTACATAACGAGGGAGAAGTGAGCGACTAGAGAGCACTAGGCGAGGAGAAGCGACCCCCCTCCACTGTTTTTTTTTCTGGTGGGGAGACCGCTTCTCCGTGCTCATTTCTCTACCTCTGCCAATTTACCTTTTTTAAACTTTGAAAATTCAAATCAATCGATAGTAATTGCAATAAAAAATAGTTTAAATCGATATAGTTAACTGTACCATATTGATTTTTACTATCATGGATTTTAAAAAATGTTTTCGAAGGAATAACATTTTTCACACATAAATACTGTATAACACTGTATAAAGGAATTTTTGAAGAATAATTGAATTTGGCGATAAATCATTTTTCTGTCGGCGAAAAAAAGAGCAAAAAAAAAAAAAAACTGTTGCGCGAACTTGAGGATTTAATGTAGTATCGACATTGAAGTATCTGCGAAGTTGTTCACCGTTGCATGCAAAGCTAACGGTAGATATTTTATGGGAATGTGATAATAGACAAATTTGTGTGTGGGTAAAAGTATAGTAAGAAAATGTATACAATTGTATGAGATCATCATATATATCTTACTCACGCATCGATTCATCTATCCGGATGAGAATAAAGGACAAACTACTTATTCTCTCTCAATCTCTTATAAAAGGGAGATAAAACCCTTCTCTCTATATAACGATCATTATTACATTCCTAATTTCTTCATCTTTTTTCCATATTTTCCTTTTCTTTATTTTTATTTTCTTCTTCTTTTTTTCTATTGTTCTTTTATTTCCTTTTTCATTTTTCGAAAGGTTCCAAACTTTATAAATCCTTGTATTTTATTGAAAGGTGAATAGAGGTATACTAATTCAATAAAAGAATATTGGGATAAATGAAAATGGTCTCCCGATATAGAAACTTGATATTTATTTGATAAAAACTTGGTTTCGATGAGGCTTCATCATAAATTAATTTCATTATTCTATTTTGAATTCGAAATGATCGAGTTCCTCTCACAAGATCTCGTATTTCTTTTTCCATGATTAAAATATTTGAAAAAAAATAATATATGCGACTCACTATTTTTTCGGGAGGATATTTAAATAAATTTACACTAGTTAAATATTTATTTATTCCATTAAATCAATAACTTTAATTAATTAAGCACTATTTCAATTAATTAATGATAATTAATTTTACATTATTTTAAATAATTATTTTACTTCGTTTAATAATTTATTTCTTTACTTTATTTTATTTACAAGTTCTTTACTTTATTTATGTTAATTTAATTCAATGTAATTAATATTAATTTAATTTAGTTATTGAATTTTAGCTATTGAAATTTTTATTTATTAATTTTCTAAATGAAACATTAATATTTATTGACGAGATTTCAATTTTTAATTAGTTATTTAATAACACCTGCTATCCACAATAATTCAAACACGTGGTTTGTGTTCACAATTGACCGACTTATTATTTATGCAATCTCATTGCAATCGTTTACCTTTAATAATCGTGAGGATAAAGTGATTTAAATTTGTAATATCTATGCTTCTTTATGACCGGAAGTTTGTATTTCTCAGTCTCGACAATCTTTAATCAATTGAATTGAATTTAAAATTTATACGTAATAATAAAAATTTAGGTATATATATACTGATTAAATATTGAAAAATAATTCTATCATTCACAGTCGATCAATAAAATAGAAAAATTTATATCTGTAATTTAGTTAAATTCATTTCGGTTGAATTTAATTAATTTCATCAAAACTTGATTAATAATTTAATCAAGATGAATTTATGCGGTCAAATCACAAGTTTGATTGGATAAACTCTGGATTAAATTCATCTACCTAATTTTTGTAAATTAATTTGTAAATTATTATTCACTTGGTCAATTTTGGTAAATCAAGTCTTGAAATTATTGAATGTTTTATTTACTTACCTCTTCATGGTCCATAACTTTCGCTTGCGGACAAAATGTGACAATTTAAAAAAATATTTAATTAATAATTTATTTTTCGAATAATAATTAAGGACACCGTGTAATTTTCAGTTAATTAATAATTTATTTTTCGAATAATAATTAAGGACACCGTGTAATTTTCAGTTAATTAATAATTTATTTTTCGAATAATAATTAAGGACGCGGTGTAATTTTCAGTTTAATTAATAATTATTAATTGTAAATTAATTACAAAAGAAGAAAGAATTTTGAAACTTTATTAATTTGCTTCTTTTTTTGTAGGTGACGAGAGAACGGTGAGTCGAAGGCTGGCCAGAGTGTATAAAAAAACTCCGGCGAGAGAATGCCGCTTCCAAAACGGTTGGTGGAACCCGTGCACGTTGCACGGGGCACCATACCCGAGGACTTTCCTCTCCCATCGGAATTAGAAGCAGCGACAAACGGGACACTCGCCAATACCATAAGGCAACTGTCGAGTTTATCGAGGCACGCCGAGGACTTATTTGGGGAACTAGCCAAGGAGGCTCATAGTTTAAGCGACAGAGCCAATTCCTTACAAGCAAGGATAGACAGGCTCGCTGTCAAAGTCACTCAACTTGACAGTAATGTCGAGGAAGGTCAGAATTCACTCCAATCATTCAAAATTTCATTTCCGTTTTATTTATTGATTACTTGATTAATTAATTTAAATTAATTATAATTGCAGTTTCGTTGCAAGATATTCATATGAGGAAGGCCTTTAAGAGTTCGGTGGTATTTGATCAGCAAGTCGTCTCCAGGGATACAATGCCCACAGCGATGCGAGAAACTTACCACCAATGTGATCCACCGCCACCTCTCGATAAACTTAATGTTTACAGGTATTTGTTAAATTCAGTTTCAAGACTTTGGAAAATCGGAAAAATATTCCATTTCTTTCAATTTCAAAACTAATTTTTATAATCATTATTTTTAGGGACGATGGAAAGGATGGATTGAAATTCTACACCGATCCCAATTATTTCTTTGACCTTTGGAGTCAAGAAATGCTCAAGGACACGGAAAAGAAATTACACGACAAAGGCAAAAAGGTAAAATTTTCCAGAAATAAAAAAAAAGATTTTATTTTTCAAGGCCTCAAAATTCAATTCGATATTGTACGTTTTCTTTAGTCTTCGATCCTCAGTAACTATTTTTGAATTTCGATTTTTTACCACGAAATTAAATATTAACAAAAATTCTTTATTAGAATGTGGAATTTTAATATAATCTAGAAATATAAAAATTTATTTCTCTATTATTTTTGTTGTAAACAATTATATTAATTTTAAAATCCAATTTTTAGAATTATTAAAATAGTTAATAATAAAGATATCGAATTGATATTTTGATGGTGTATAATACTTTTAAAAATCGCTTAGCATTTTTTAATGTATTATATTAATATGTTATTAATTTATTATTATAAAACTAATAATGACACATTTTAACTTATTCAAACTGTCCCTGTGGTTATAGACCGAGTCTGAATATGCCGAACCGTTCAGAGAGGCAAGTCGATGGTTTGGATCTTTGTAGTTTTTTTACAACCCCTTTTTCAATGTTAATGAACTTTTATTAATCGTTCAACCATTATATTCACTCATAATTGAATTCACATCCGTGTGACGTTTTCATTAACTGACTTTTTTGCTAATATAGATATAATAATTATGCTCTACGTGCTCGCTTTTGAAAGTTTTTTGTAGTGTGCTAGGTTAGACAAAAGTCATCACTTTGCATTATTTTTTCCCTTCATTTTTATATAATCATGTTTGCCTTTTCATATTGTGTGCCTATCATCAATCGATAAATCAAATTTTACATTATTGAAAATTAAAAACAAAAACTTAAATTTATAGCATGTAAGATTCACAAATTATTAAATTCATCACTTAATTCTTTAAGTGGTGTTTTAGTAATTTAAAAATTGTTTATTATAATTCCAATTAAATTATTTTCGTATTACTATTGTTATTGATAGTTTCTGTCATAACTATTTTTTTCTTTATTATTAACTGTATACTAAATTTAAAAAAAGTGTTAATTTTTATTTTATACTGTTTTGAGAAAAGTTGCTAATTTCTTTTTGTTTTGACAATCCTGAATACTGTTTTTATTAATCTGTTCCCTTTTTTTGAAAATAATGAAATATTTTACAGAAAAAATTGTAACTTATTAGTTACTTTACAATATTTCTGTCACTCTACATATATATATATATTGTTCCCAGTCCTTTGTTTTTTGTTTTTGTAAATCATTCACGATCTTTGAGATCTTACATAATTTGAATAAAATTTATATTATGGTCATAACAATTTTTTTCCACATTTCGCACCAAGGAAATGAAAATAGTCCTGAATTTCAAAATCGTTAAACATGAAAATTTTAAAAGCAGATCACATTGGAAATTTTGTACATATAGTGCACAAAAATATTACTACTTTTATTTCCTACACGTCATTTTTTGCTATAAAATAAAAACTTGGTGACTATCCAGTGACATGGGAGATTTTCTTCAATCGATCAAGTTCCGTTTCTTTTAAACTTTCATTAAATGTGAAAAAAAAGAACATAAATTTTGTAAAAATGAAAAATGTTTTCACTGGATGGTTATTGGTTTCATCACCAAATGAAAAATTAAAAAAAAAAGAATAAAAAGAAAAGAAAATAATTTTAGCTTGCATTTTTTTAATAACTGCATATAATGTTTGATTGAATAGCGCGCAAATTGTGATGAATTATTGGATTTTAATTGTTTATTGAAATTTTTTGTTTTCTTTTTCAATAGCCGCACAAGACTCGGACTGACGGAAGTGGCGGAGGTGGTGGAAGATACAAGAAACGCGTTAGACAACCACATAATACGAGAGAAAGACAACGACGATTGGCTGAGGGCCATGGCGAATATATTATGCCTGCTCAAGGTGTTCAGTATCGAGCACCGCACAATATTCCAGATGAGGCACTGCTGGGAATGGTGATGACGGATCAAAGACCCCCAAGGCCCAATAGCATTGAATTAAGGCGAAGCTATCCACCTGAGGAACATCAACTTTACAGTCCACCTACCTCCGAGCACTACAGGTATTATTCTTTGTCCTGGATTCGCAGAGGATTTCGCAAAAACAAATACAATCTTTTTTATTTTATTTGGATTTCATTTCATTGAAGAGAATTTTTATCGAATTTTTAATCCAAAATTGCTAAATCTTGATTTAGCAGAATTGCTATTGGAGAAAAATATTATTTAGAAGAATTTTCATTAAACGGAATTCTTATTTGACTGAACTTTAAATAGTAGAATTCATAATTAATAATTTTAATTTGTCAGAATTTATGTTTAACTGAATTTTTGCTAAAATAGCATTTATATCAGGGTTGCCACAAGTCAGGAAAATCAAGGAATTCAGGGAAATAGAGTTGGTCAGGGAAATCAGGAAAAAATCAGGGAATTTTATTAAAAGTACTAGAAAAAATTAAATGTTTAGAATTTATGGGAAAATTCTAAATTTTTGTGTCTTTTTATTTGCCTTATAAACTATGAAATTACACGAATTCTAAAAAAACCTTAAATTTCTTTTATTTCTGACAATAATTTAATGAAGTATTTTTTTTTAATTTTAATTTCAATTCTGTTGAAATCAGTTTCAACTTTAGAAATTTTTAACGCAATTCTTTGACAGAATTAAACTATTTTAATAAATATTAAAATTTATTCCAGAAATTAAATTATTTTCAACTAGCTGTGGTACCCGTCTTCGACGGGTTTTAGTTTCTACCAATACATTTAACAATGTTTCTACCAATCTGGAAAATCAGAAAATAGCCGGGAATTTAATTTGACCGGAAAATTAATAATTAGTTACCATTAGCTATTTTGGTAGTATAATATTACTATTTGAATAGTCTTCACCCTTTAGCCAAAAATAAAAAAAATAACAAATTATCAAAAATTCGAAAAACCGAATTTCTTAAAATTCAACATTTTTTTTTCTTTTTAATGGGATTTAGCTTCATTATTTTTGTGCTTTTGGAAAATACTTTAAACTTATTAAATAGTCTCGACTCTTTGGTAAAAAATCTAAAATTATCGAAAATTAGCAAAAATTAAAAAAACCGAATTTCTTAAAATTCAACATTTTTCCTTCTTTCTTATGGCATTCAGCTTCACTATTTTTGTGCTTTTGGAAAATACTTTACTTATTTAATAGTCTCCACCCTTTGGTAAAAAATCTAAAATTATTGAAAATTATCAAAAATACAGAAAACCGAATTTCTTAAAATTCAACATTTTTTTCTCTCTTTTATGGGATTTAGCTTCATTATTTTTGTGCTCTTGGAAAATACTTTACTTATTTAATAGTCTCCACCCTTTGGTAAAAAATCTAAAATTATTGAAAATTATCAAAAATACAGAAAACCGAATTTCTTAAAATTCAACATTTTTTTCTCTCTTTTATGGGATTTAGCTTCATTATTTTTGTGCTCTTGGAAAATACTTTACTTATTTAATAGTCTCGACTCTTTGGTAAAAAATCTAAAATTATCGAAAATTAGCAAAAATTAAAAAAACCGAATTTCTTAAAATTCAACATTTTTCCTTCTTTCTTATGGCATTCAGCTTCACTATTTTTGTGCTTTTGGAAAATACTTTACTTATTTAATAGTCTCCACCCTTTGGTAAAAAATCTAAAATTTTTGAAAATTATCAAAAATACAGAAAACCGAATTTCTTAAAATTCAACATTTTTTTCTCTCTTTTATGGGATTTAGCTTCATTATTTTTGTGCTCTTGGAAAATACTTTACTTATTTAATAGTCTCGACTCTTTGGTAAAAAATCTAAAATTATCGAAAATTAGCAAAAATTAAAAAAAACGAATTTCTTAAAATTCAACATTTTTTCTTTTCTTTTATGGCATTTAGCTCTATTATTTTTGTGCTCTTGGAAAATACTTTACTTATTTAATAGTCTCGACTCTTTGGTAAAAAATTTAAAATTATCTAAAATTATCAAAAATTCAAAAATCCGAATTTCTCAAAATTCATTATTTTTTCCTCTCTTTTATAGCATTTAGCTTCATTATTTTTGTGCTTTTGGAAAATACTTTACTTATTTAATAGTCTTGACTTTTTGGTAAAAAATCTAAAATTATCTAAAATTATCAAAAATTCAAAAATCCGAATTTCTTAAAATTCAACATTTTTTCTTTTCTTTTATGGCATTTAGCTCTATTATTTTTGTGCTCTTGGAAAATACTTTACTTATTTAATAGTCTCGACTCTTTGGTAAAAAATCTAAAATTATCGAAAATTATCAAAAATTCAAAAATCCGAATTTCTTAAAATTCAACATTTTTTCTTTTCTTTTATGGCATTTAGCTCTATTATTTTTGTGCTCTTGGAAAATACTTTACTTATTTAATAGTCTCGACTCTTTGGTAAAAAATTTAAAATTATCTAAAATTATCAAAAATTCAAAAATCCGAATTTCTCAAAATTCATTATTTTTTCCTCTCTTTTATAGCATTTAGCTTCATTATTTTTGTGCTTTTGGAAAATACTTTACTTATTTAATAGTCTTGACTTTTTGGTAAAAAATCTAAAATTATCTAAAATTATCAAAAATTCAAAAATCCGAATTTCTTAAAATTCAACATTTTTTCTTTTCTTTTATGGCATTTAGCTCTATTATTTTTGTGCTCTTGGAAAATACTTTACTTATTTAATAGTCTCGACTCTTTGGTAAAAAATCTAAAATTATCGAAAATTATCAAAAATTCAAAAATCCGAATTTCTTAAAATTCAACATTTTTTCTTTTCTTTTATGGCATTTAGCTCTATTATTTTTGTGCTCTTGGAAAATACTTTACTTATTTAATAGTCTCGACTCTTTGGTAAAAAATCTAAAATTATCGAAAATTATCAAAAATCCAAAAATCCGAATTTCTTAAAATTCAACATTTTTCCTTCTTTCTTATGGCATTCAGCTTCACTATTTTTGTGCTTTTGGAAAATACTTTACTTATTTAATAGTCTCGACTCTTTGGTAAAAAATCTAAAATTATCGAAAATTATCAAAAATTCAAAAAACCGATTTTCTTAAAATTCAACATTTTTCCTTCTTTCTTATGGCATTCAGCTTCACTATTTTTGTGCTTTTGGAAAATACTTTACTTATTTAATAGTCTCGACTCTTTGGTAAAAAATCTAAAATTATCGAAAATTATCAAAAATTCAAAAAACCGATTTTCTTAAAATTCAACATTTTTCCTTCTTTCTTATGGCATTCAGCTTCACTATTTTTGTGCTTTTGGAAAATACTTTACTTATTTAATAGTCTCGACTCTTTGGTAAAAAATCTAAAATTATCGAAAATTAGCAAAAATTAAAAAAACCGAATTTCTTAAAATTCAACATTTTTTCTTCTCTTTTATGGCATTTAGTTTCATTATTTTTGTAGCAAATTTCTTACTTTACATACTGATCTTTAAATAAAAAACCTTAATAACTTTTCCTGAAAAGCTTGCTTAAAGATTAAAAATCACTATTTTTTTTAGAAAAAAGTTGATCTAAAAAAACGAAAAGAAATTTCAAAATACGTCTTTTTAAAAAATTTTATTGTAGAAATGGGTTGTATTTATCTGAAAAAGTTAGCTAAGGATAGTTAGCATTCATTTTTTAAAAATAATTGAATTTCTGCGAAGAATTTTATTAATTTTGAAAATAATTGAATTCAAGTGATGAATATTGTTATTTATGAAAATAATAATATCTGAATAATAAATTAGTAGAATTAAATAATAAATTATTATTTAAATAATAATATTTTTGAATTAATAATTCAATTATATTCAGGAAATTTCATAAAATTCATTGTAAAATTCAATTATTTTCATAAATAACAATATTCATCACTTGAATTAAATTATTTTCAAAATTAATAAAATTCTTCGCAGAAATTCAATTATTTTCAAAAAATCTAAAAAAATTGTCAACATTTATGTATATAAAGATAATTATCTTTATAAATGAATAACAAAATTAAATTTTTGTGGCAACCCTGATTATTTAAGTTAATTTTCATTTAACAGAATTTTTATTTGAAGAGAATATTAATTTAGCAAAATTTGTGTTACATAAAAATTGCCAGACACATTTAGAAGGAGAAAAATTAATAATAGAAGAAATATTTACAGAACGGGAAATTATGCAGTCCAAGGGTACGACGACAGTTTGTACAGTTCACATTACGGTCCTGGACAAGGACAACCAGGTAGTGAGACGTATCAAAGCCCAAGTGGTCCAGGTACGCCGAGCAGAGGAGGTCGCAATAGACCCTCGCAACCTCCTCCAGCTCCCCCTAGCAATGCTTCCAGTAATTCTACTCCTACCATAGCTTCTGCAAACAACACCCCCACGAGAGGACGAGCGACGAGCACCGCCAGGGATACATTGCCACCTCCACCGCCGCCTCCTGGTGAAACGATGTCCCCACCCTCGATGAACGGTAAATTTATAACGAAAATTACATACATCCAACAATTTACAAATCATTTTACTAACAATTTCTTTTCTTTCCTCTCGGGATTTTTTCAATTTTTTTTCTTTCAATATTCTTGCAATTTTTTTTGCATTTTTTCTCCTTCTTTTTGGTTCGTTTCACTCTATAGGTTCCATACCGTCGCATTTAATAAATAGAAATGGAAGTCGATCAAATAGTCCATTACCGACACATCAAACGACAGCGAATCAACAGAATCATTTAAATCAAATGGGCATCGATGAACCTGATCCGGCACCACAGGATTTGCCGCCACCGCCTCCAACACCCGATCCAACGCCCGTTAGACCAAATTCACCGCCGTGTAATATTCCACCGCCACCTCCACCACCACCGCCTCTACCAATATCCAATGGTCCATCGCCACCCTTGCCATTGACGAATGGCGACATTGCAAAAATGATTGCAAATAATCCGCCGAAATTACGGCCTCTCAAGAATATTATTGACGGCGAGATCAGAAAAACAAATCCGAACATTCCTTTGGTCGATCCAAGAAACGATCTTCTCAAAGCAATTCGAGACGGTAATATTACAGCAAATATTTATTTCTATTCAATAATTTTTATTTTAATTAAATATTTTCTACAAATAAATTTTTTATTTTTTCAGGAATAAAATTGCGTAAAGTGGAAAAGATTGAGCAGAAAGAAGTTGAGCGTGTCAATGCATTAAACGATGTTGCATCGATATTGGCGCGTCGAGTAGCTGTTGAGTTTAGTGATAGCGACACAGCATCCGAGAGCGAGTGTGATAGTGAAGGTTGGGGCGAACAGGACACAAGTGTAGCGTGACCAACATCGCTACCAGCAACAATCACTACAATCATCTAAATCAATGATTTTTATAGTTCGCCTTCTTGTTTTCTCGACAAAGCCCCTTCCCCCCGGCCCCATTCCTCCCGTAAGTTAATTTATTTCATTTTTTTAAATATCAAATTGATCAATTCTCGTTCGGCAAAAACGTGTGTGTGTGTACCAAAGTTTAGCGAATGACATTCTTATCAAATTGTTTTTTTATCTATCGAGTTACATATCACACGCTTACGAAAAAGAACACTCGTGAATAATTGAATAAATTTTTTTTTGAATTTATTACGAATTTTTGCAAAAGAGAAAAAATGAAAGGAAATTGATTGAATTTTTCAATCGATTCACTTTAATTTTTAATAACATTTTCTATTAAATGGAAATTACAATTTTGCATTTGTTCAAGAATGATCTTGATTTGATCTTGATAAAAGATGACAAATTTACAAAACCTGAAAGTAAATTCCTTCTAATTCGCAAAAATTCCTTCTACTATCGGGGGTTTTTGTTTTTGATAATATTTTGTTTAAGATTGTTTTTTTAAATAAAGTAATGTAATGAAATTTATTTTTTTTTTGTAAATTTTTTACTTGTACATTTTTTTTTAATTTAAACAGAAGATTATGAATAGTGACAAAGTAATCCCAGAAAAGTCAAAATAATTTTATCTTTACAACCCGGGAGACTTTGGTCGCTTTAATAAGAAATTTTATATTTCAAAGTAGAAGTGTCTATAATAGAAAAAGCTCATAAATTATTATTATTACTATTATTATAATATTATATTATTATATATTATTATTATATTATTTTTTTATATTATTATTTTAATATTATTAGATATCATTATTATTAGATACAGCCAAGAAATTTAGATCGCAGAGATACATGTTGTAAAATAGACATTTTTACCTTAGCGTAATTACGTTTTGGTTGAGAGAAAGAAATGAAAAGATGACACGCACATAATCATCTCGCTTTTCAAAATATTCGGTGTTAATCGCTAGGAAATAACGAAAAAAGAAAACAGGAAAAAAAAGATTTAAAAAAATACCTTTTTCTGGAACATACATTCTGCATGATTAATAGTCAACGCGAATGTTTATCCATTTACCTGTTGATAATAATTAGATATCTATAATCATGAATAGATAAAATAAAATTAAATGCTTTACACTAAACGTGCGTGTGAAATCTGTGTAAATGCCAAAACAGACAAATATTCGTGTTATTCTCGATTATTAACAAATGAAAAGCAAAAATAAAAAAAAAATCCTTTTTACATACTTTGTGTCTGTGTATGTATGTAAAAAGAAATAATTGGTACATTTTATATGTCACAAGTTGGAAAGTATATTAGATACCTAATAAGAAGAAAATATAGTAGAGATAATAAATCTCTATTAATAAAAGAAAATCTTTTTTTGCTTTTTATTTGAAATGAAGGAAAAAGGAAATGTCGAAAACCAAAATACTCCACTATTATGTAAGTTGTAAACGATGATGTAATTACGGTTTGCGTAAGAAGAGTATTTTTTAGCCTTTAGCGAAAACCGAAAAATAGTTTAAAAAAAATACTGTTATCGAGATGATTGCATTGACCGATTTTCTGGCCAATGAAAAATAAAAAGGAGGAAAAAAATATAATTGTGATTTATTTTACATCGATGTTGATGGAGTACGGTGACAATGAATAATATAAAAATTATAAATATAAATATAAATAAAATGAAAAACAAATATATATATATTATATAATTATAATAATGTATACTGTTCGTTAAGATTTGCGCATAATCTTATGTGTTCGATTCAAATTAATTATATATAGATATTAATTAAAATATTTGTTTTTTTTACAAAATGATAATTGGATAAGAGCGATGAGAAAAATAGAATATTATTCTGCACTTCAAGTGCAAGATTGAAAGATTGATTTTACCAAAATCAGTGTGAATTTTGAGAAATGTTCACGAAATTTGCATTTTGAAAAGATTCTGTGTATTTGTCTTTTGATTTATTCAAATAAGAAAAGAAAAAGTTTTTTAAGCAATGAAGTTGTAAAGAATTAACAGTAATTCGCTAATTTTACAAAAAAAATGTCGATTTACTTGTCGGTTTTTTGTGACAGTCTCGGTTTGAAAATAATCTACAAATAAGTTTTTTTTTAAAAACGATAAAATATTTAAAAAAGTAGAAAAAAATTGTCATAAGAAAGATTTATAAGGAATATTATAGAAGGAAAAAATTTAAAAAAAAATTTAACATTTGCTTTTTTAGTTATTAAAAAAATTATTTAACAAGTAGAATATTATAAATTTATTTAAAATTATGTATGGATTCTGTTAAAATTTGTCAATATTTAAAAATGTTTTCTAAACGCCAAAGATTTTGTTGAATAGAATCGTAAAGAATAGAATTAAATTATAAATTTATTGTGTTGATTAAAAAGAAAATTAAAATTATATTTCAATTATATTTCATCTTTATAATTAAGTCGAAATTTTAATTAACTCATAAAATTGAAAAGAATATAATTATATATACATTGAATTGAAATTAATGTTTAATACATTTTTAAAAAATTATAAGGAACTAGAAAAATTTAAATCGAGATTGTCGCGACTTAATAGACCTGAGGTTTGATTGCCAATTTTTGCATTTACTTACTGAACGAAACTATAAATTAAGAAAACTAAAAAGAAAAGAAATAATATAGTTTCTCTGAAGAAAGACGTGTACAATTCCTTTTTTTTATTTTCAATTCTAGGCGATCGCTATTACGATAAATATAATTGTAAAACAATAATCGAAAACACTTTTCTGTACTATGTTTATATATAAATAATTGAATGTATACAGAGATTATAATTAAACACGAGACTTGTCGATAAAATGATTGATAAGTATTTTGTTTGATTACTTTGTATATAAACTAATAAGTAAGCTACATTTATAATAATAAGGACTTTAGAATAATTCTCAGCTATTTCGCCAACTACTACGCAGTATTTATCGGGGACTCTGTAATATACAGATAAATGAAAAAGGAAAAATTATGTGCTACCAATAATTCGATCTCCTTTTGAGGCATACATATTATATACGTGTACATTTTTCAGATTTAAAATGGTCTAACTTTCATTCTTGCATTTCTATGATTATAAATATGATAATTCACAATAGTCTTTTACAATCTAAAATATCGAAAATCGATTAATGATAATAAGAAAAAAGAAAATTGAATATTTTTTAATAAATAAATATTTGTACAAGTCTTGCTTCGTCAATGCAAAACAAAAATATATAGTTGTATAACTTGAATTTAAATAATTCCTAAAAGTTTGAATAATGTCAAAGAGAATTTCTTATTCCATAGTCCGTATTATTAGCCGAATAATTAGCAAAAACAGGTTGATATAATTTTTCGTAATTATTTTTTAATAATTAAATTCTTTCTAATTACAATTTTTTTTAATCGGAAGAGAATTTTTTTTCTAAATTTGATTTTATTTATAATTTTCGCAATTGGTTCAAATGTTTGTCAACTTTATCATTAATAATGTTAATATTATTGTCATCTTTATCATAATCCACAATATCTGTTGAATTGTCTACGAATTAAAAAAGTACAATTATTAAAATTTCCTCTAATAAACGACGCGAATTTAATTTGATAAATTCTTGTATAAGCTGTTAATTATTATTTTATTCATTTCTCAATTATTATTGGTTCGGCGAAGCAGATTATTTATAACAATTTTTTTTATTCGCAAATCTGATAATTATTATAGCAATAATTGAATTCTCAATGTCAAAATTCGTTACCATAATAACAAATGTTTCTATCTAGTAAATAATTAAACATAATAATAATAAAAAATAATAATAATAGTAAAGTAATAATAATGATAAAAATAATATTAAAACAATAATGATGTCACTTATTAATGAAGTTCATTCTGTCCAAAAGTGAACTTTCAATTAATTTTAATTATTAATTGTCTGTATATAAAATTTAATTGTATTCGATTATTAATTAATGAATAGTTTATTATTACGAATTTAATTTTTTTAATCGTATGGTAAAAATCATAATGTTTTAATTTTGTATTTGAAGAAATTTATACATTGATTCTTGACTTGTTTTATTTGAAAGCAAAAAATTGAAATTTAATTAATTTAATATTGAATTTAAAAATTCTGTGACAATTCAGCAGTCTTTCTTCAAATGAAAAAAGAGAAACAATTAATTGTGAATTATAATTAATTCAAGTTTGCATTTGTTTTTTTTTTAATATTTTAGAGCTAAAATAATGAATTTATGAAATAACTGTGATTTTGCATTTTTCTTTAATATTTTTCACATTTTTTTAAAACAAATTTTTTAATTTAAGATCGTACAATTTTTTTTTCACAAAACCGAAGCCCTATACTTGAAAGTGAAGACCTTTTATAATAAGTATAAACAAAAACACAAGTCATTTCCGCCAGTTGCCTATAGCTTTTACTGTGTAAAAAAAAATTTCTTGGCCAACTTTGATTTTTGCTACTTAAAAAAAATTAAATATAAATATAATCAATATTACCCTTTTGCCTATATTGAAAGTGTTTTTTCACATTTTGCGGTGGCTAAATTTTCTCAATGATTATTATGATAATATTTAAAACAAAAATAATAGAAACAAATTGAAAAACAAGACCGCAATTTTGGAAAAAAATAAACAAGAAGAGGAAATGAATGAAAAAAAAAAATGATTGCATATTTATGCAACTGTGGATGAGATTTATATGTACTTTTACGATACATGTCTCCGGTACACGTATTTATACTAGACAAAACTGACTCAACTACACATTGATCGTTACTATAAAAAAACACTGTAATTGTATTATTATAATATTATTATTATTACATTTGTAGTAAAATTGTACAGGCCAAATAAAGTTTCGTAAATCGACCGAAAGATTTATATATTTTCTCAAACAAATCTTTTATAATATTTGATTTATTTATTGCAATTTTAGAAAATGCGTAAAAGTTATTTTTCCATATTTTTTATAAATATTTCAGTTCCTTTTAAAATTTATAAACATTAACTACTGTAGAATAAATTAATAATAAATTTTAATTTTATTTAAGGTAGAATTAAAAAGAATAATAAATAAATAGTTAATAAATAAATTTTTATTAAATATTTTAATAAATAGGTATATTAAATTATTAATTAAATTTTTTAATTAATAATATTTTTTAGTGAACAAAATGAAATTCGACTCTGTTTTTGTAAGCTAGAAATAGAAATAATAAATAAATTTCAATTATTTAAATTCTTTTTTCATTGCTATAATTGTTATAGTTCATTCAAAAAAATTGTTTTTAATTTTGTTGAGAAAAAATTTTTAATTGATTTTTTATTGTCTTTAAACTTTTGTCGGTCGATAGGAAGAAAATTAAAGAGTTAATGTAATAAATGATGACAAAAGCATTTAATTATTGATTATATTTCAATTTATACAAATGCGACTTGAGCTGATATTACGCAATGACTTAAAGAAATTCCCATCTTTCGACTAAATTTTAATTGATATTAAAATATTCTTAAAAATTATTTTTTTATTGCTACTATTAGCAGGCAACATTGATAAGAATAATTCATATTTTATAATTTTTGTTCAAAATTATTATAAACAAAAACATTTTGCAATTATTTTGTATTTTCAACAACAATGTTTTCTTTAAGAACAAAAAATTTCAAAAATAAGAAAAATTTCTAAATTAAGGTATTCAATAGTAAAAAAACAATTTTCGAAACATTAGTGACAATTTTTTGAAATATGTTATATACTTTCTACTTAAAATTTTTTGTTTTTTAATTACGAAAAGATTTTTATCTTTGTAATCCAATGAATCTGATTATAAAAATTTTCGTAAGTAATCTTTTATTTAATTTTGAAATTTAATTTCAAAATCACGTGCTAGATCGATTCTAGCGGCATATTTCACTTTATAATTTCTCGTAAAATATTCAATAAATTGGGGTTCAAATTTTGTGGAGAGGTGTAAAATATAATAGAAATTTGTGATATGATAAATTGTTAATTATACATAAAATTAATTAAATTTGATATGAATTTTTAAATATTAGTTAAATTTCCATTTATAAATAAGTTAATGTCCATTTAAATATTTTACTATACAATAAAAAATATAAAATATTAATTAGAAAAAAAAGTTTTAAAAGAATTTTGAATATTGGCTATGAATTATTATAAATTAACTTATTTAATTCATTTAATATTTATCTATTATTTATTTAAAATTATTAATTCGTCAAAAATTCTTTTTTTCGGGAGTGCTCGAATTTCTTTAAAATCGCGGTCGTTCAGTAATTAATAAAAATATTTTGTAACCGGTTTAATTTATGTTTATATAAAAATGTGACAATTTTCGTTTTAAACTCAATTTCGCGAGTGTCCGGATTTTTTTAACCACGTGTGTGCATTATTTTCGTCAAAATATCAGCGATAACAACTACAGGATAGTATGATAAGGACTTCAAAAATTTCAGGTTAGCAATAATAATAATTAAAAAAATATAATTTCATATATTAATTGATAAACTTTTATGTTATGAAAATATTTCATTGAATTTTAAAATTTACAATACAACGTTTTTCAATGATCGTAGAAAAATTTATTACCCTCAAAAAAATTTGTCCCCAAAATTAACAAACCAGAACGAACAAATCTTTTAGTTTTTCTTTTTTTTGTATTTTTAATTATAATAATAATAATTAAAAATACAAAAAACGAAAAACTAAAACTAAAAAAGATAATATATGATTATTGTTTCTATTATCATTATTTTTTCATCATCACAATATTATTACTAGCATTATGCTTTATAAATAATATCATTGTTATTTCATAATAAAAAGATTAAATTTTTTTATTACAAAATAATAATGAAGGTTTTTAACAAAGAGCAAATATTATTATTATTATTTTTATACGTTCAAAAATGGAAGTTATGAACCATGAATAATTGAATAATTTATATAATACCATTATTTTTATCTATGAATTTTTTTCTCTTTAATATTTTGTGCAATCGAACAATAATTTGTTGTTAGCTTTTATCCAATATTTTTTATTTACCAAAAAATTTAAAAATAACAATAAAGAAAAGTGGAGCGTAGAAATAATACACAAAAAAACTGCGCTATAATTTTAAATAAACCAAAATGAACTGAAGAGGAGAAAAAAAAGATAAAAATAAATAACGTGACGAGACTCGAAACTGATGTAAACAGATCGTTAATTTAGAAACAAACTGATTGACACAAGAGAGTGTCCTGAATTCAAATTAATGGGACGACGGTTGCTCCCTTTGGAAATTGGCCTAATTTAATTGTCAATTCGATCTGTCGTAGAGCAGAAGTTAACGCGCGCGGTTTGAGATTATTCACCGAAAAGCGAATTCGAGCACCGTGGATGATATATTTGTGGTTTAAATGTCGATTACATAGTGATTTATGGACGAGTTGACGCCGATGAGTAGATTGGGGGGTGGGTGGGGGGAGGGTACTCGATTTAAAGCTGTGTGGAGGTACACGCTATATTGGTTTAATTAACTGCGATGGCAAACGATGAGCTTAAATCGCAAAAAAAGAAAGAAGAGCCTTTCGATCAAAATCAAATTTCAATTGGTTTAATCCGAAAAGCCTCTCTTTTTATTTTATTTTATTTTATTTATTTCATCAATTTGCCAATCGTCTGATTTTTATTGGTGATAAGAATAGGTTTTTTTGGACGTTTTGTTTCTAAAAAACAAGAATTTTGTATCTCGATTCAATTTTTCATTCGAATGAAACTTGAAAGCAAACTCATGAAATTTAAGCTTTTGCTGTTAACTTAAAAATATCAAATTGAATGGATATGAAAAGTGTGGATCAATTAAAAAATTGATTCCTATTTTTTGTATCAATTTCATTCACATTGGTATCAATATGATGCTTTCAAGAAAATTGTGATCTGTTTTTCTGCTTTTTTTCTTAAATTTTGTACAAAAACAAACAAATTTTCCTTTAAACACTTTTCTGTAGCACAAAAATTAAAAAAGTTATCACCATTTTCCACAAAACTTCAAAAAATTCAGATTTTCTTACTTTGAAAATTTCAAACTTTGGTATCTTTGTCAATTTTCATAAAAAATCTTTTTTTCTGCTTTTTCCCTTAAATTTTGTACAAAAACAAACAACTTTTCCTTCAGACACTTTTCTGTAGAACAAAAATTAAAAAATTTATCACCCTTTTTCCGCAAAAGTACAAAAAATACAGATTTTTTTAAATTGAAATTTTCAAACTTTGGTATCTTTGTCAATTTTGATTAAAATCTGTTTTTCTGCTTTTTTCCTTAAAGTTATCACCTTTTTCCACAAAAGTACAAGAAATCCAGATTTTTTTCATTTGAAAATTCCAAACTTTGGTATCTTTGTCAATTTTCATTAAAATCTGTTTTTCTCCTTTTTTCCTCAATAATTTAATTATTTTAAATATTTTTTTAAATAATACAACTTTTTACAGAGATTCAATTATTTTAATTTCTACGGAAAAAAGAATGATGAAATTGAACATCATAGGTATAAGTTTGAAATCGTAGACAAAAGTATAAAGTTTAGAAAATTAACTTTTTTCTTGTAATTGAAAATTTGTGCGAGCATTTATAAATTTAGTTCTCATTTAAATTGAAGTTTCGTAAATTTAAATTCTGTGAATGAGAAAGTTTGCCGATATATATATATATAAAGTTTTGTTGCGGAGGGAAAAGCTATGAAACTTGCTAGGGTTAATTCGTACCTATGTATAGGCTGCTTTCTTTATTCAAAATTATCATGGCAACTCATAGAGTTCTTTAAAGTTTTGCGCTCACCTTCTCCCTTGCTCTTTACTTTTCTTCAAATCGCGTCTACAGTAACAGCCGCCGAGTCGTTTTCCCAGTTTTCCTTATAGGAAACTTTTGGATAAGAGCCAGACCTTTGCTCTTGGAAATGTTCGCCTCTGGCGTTTTCCAGCAGCAAACCTTATTTTCAACCTAGTTTTCCCCGATCTCACCCTAATTGAGTTTCCTCTGGACTTCTCTTTTAGCCGAAAATCAGTTTTACGGATTCCCTCCCACACCCCAATTTTTTTTTCTTTATAGAGTAGTATATATTTCAGTAAATAACCATCATTTGATGAAAATTTCTGTCAAAGTTCATTCTCTGTGTAAATAAAGAGGTTGTGTTTACGATTTGTTGTTTGTTTGCATGAATATGTTTACTCTGATTGGTTTTTACTTTTGGTTTCGTTTTCTTGAAAATTCCTTATGAGATGGGATTTTTTTGAACTCATCTTAGGTTTTTTAAGAAGCAATGCGTTTGGTCTATGAAATAATTCAATTATTTTCAAAAGTAAAAATTCTTAGCAAAATATTTTTCCAAAAAACTACTCAAAAATGGGAAACAGTGTTTATTATACGGTTAAAAGCATTATATAGAACATCCATGAATCAATTAGTAAAAAATAAATTAAAATACCGTATCGAATGGGTAATTAAAAGATTTTCGCTTAATTTAGTCTTGGATTGCATTGAGCGTTCTATGAGTAATGTTTAAAAAAGTTGACTCTTGATGTCGTCGTCGTCGTTGCTTATAGACACGCAACATGCAATTCTCTCTTCTCGCGAGTATATAGTAAAATTCTGATTTCTGATCTCTGTTGCGTTCATTTCTTATTCGCAAGTCAAAGCGCGTAGACATTTGTTGATTCTTATTTTCTTTTTTCATTCAAGAAAAAGAAAAATATTTTTTCCTCTATATATTTGTATTAAGCACACGCGTTGTTTTCTGGTTCATGCACACGAGTCGCGAGCTTTTGTGGCTCTTCAAGTATTTATATTGTGTCAAAAAGAAAAAATCATTA